CAACCAGTCACAGTATACACATATTTGGTCACAAATGGTCACCACAAACAAATCTGCTTACACCACGGACCAACACCACAATCCACCACCAGAAAGAAGAGACGGAAATTGTTTACAAACTTCTGAATACAATTGATACATCCAAAAATTGTTCTGAATACAAACTTCTGAATACATACACATATTTCCAAAATTTCAAGTCACAATCGGTCACAAACGGTTACAATCAGTCACAAACGATAACAAATAACCAAATTATTTGTGACCACCACTTCGCGGACGGCAACATCATCTCAAAACAAACACCACACCCTCCCCAACACCACATCACCTCCCCAAAACCACCATCGCCACACTCACAGCTAAATCAACCCAGAACACACAAATCACACACAACCACCACTGCCACCAACTTAAAATCCACAATTCCAGTGGTAGAAGAAGCAATCAAAATCAGAAAGCGATAGCATATGGCAGGTACAACAACCAGAAGCAGCAAGCCTAATTACTTTCAGAAGACTTGTTCATTACCAACAACCAGAAGCAGCAGTAACCAGGTAACCATCACGTAGCCTTGGAGTTCCCACATAGAAATAAATCCACATTAACTTCTACAAAAATGATGGATTTATGAAATTTCCTTTAAGATTTCCCCCTTGAAATTATGAATCAAAATTTGTTCGGCAAGATTGGCATATAGCACAAACCACCCACAATCAAACATGCATCCACATATACAAAAAAACCCGACGCCTGTACCACAACAACAACTAAAACACAGTGGTGTCGAAGATAGAGTATGCCAATCGGAAACCAAAATCAGATTGACATCACCATCTAGACAGCACCTGTTCGGATGCTGACCCAATCTCCTTCATCCTGCCATAGTCGACTTATATTAAAGCTGGGTGGCACTCTAAGCAACGGGTGCAGCGGTGAACAGAACGCCGCCACTTAAAGACGGTTGAAGATGATCGCTACGGCGAATAGCAGGGAAGATTGGCGAACAGAGCTCACAGAAGATGAGCGCCGCCTTCGCTCACAGAAACCTCTACTCGCGACAGTTCTCTCTAGGTGGGGTCGCCGCTGCGCATGCAGCTCTCTTCCAGGGCGGCGCCGCTATGTTGAAAGAGAAGAGAAGATGGGTGCGGAGGGAGAGAGGAGTGAGGCTGCTATTGAAAATAAATTGGGTTTTAATTATTAATTGAATTAACACATGATTTTTTATTAAATAAACATAAAACCTGATTTTTGAAATTGAATACTTAAAAGCAGGGAACTAAGTAATTTTCTCCTTTAACATATTGCCCTTAGCCCATATCATAGAGTTCAACCCATTAACAAAATTACCCTTCTTCCATTGACACCACGTCGAAGCTTCTCCATCCAAACAAACAGTCGCTGCCTCCACATCTTCTTCCAATTCGAGAACTGATTAATATTAGAATACCTCTCCACTTGAAGAATACAGCCATCGGGATTTTCTCCTTCGAGAACTGAAATTTCTAATCGAAGATTGCGAGCCTCTGCCTTCCCTAGTTCCTCCCTGCGATTCTGTCCGGTTTCGCTGACTTCGATTTCTTCAATTTTTGGTGAGATTTCAAAATTAATGGTGGGCTCCAACGAAGTGACTGCTACCTCATTTTCCTTTTTGTCCGACTCCTCCCAGCAGTGCGCGATGCGGCTAATTACTCCAGCTTCCTCCAATTTTGGGGAAATTTTAGAAGTGAAGATGAGTTCTGGTGACATGATACCGATTGCTGCTGCAGATTTTACAAGTGATAATTCAGCTGCTAGAGAGGCTTCTTTCCTACTGGACTGTTGAATATTTGATGTTATGGACATGTGGATCTTAGATGGGCCATAAGTGTACTGGGCTTGTTGCATTGATTCATTCCTGTCTTCAACCCTTTTCAGCCCATTCCAAAATCAAGTCCACATGCCTTTTTATAAGAGTTTCAGACCTAGTGCTTATTTGGTAGGGATTTTTGGGAGAATAATTGATTTTTGAATAGTGATATGATAGGAAATGTGTGGTTGAAAAAGAAGAAAAAATTATTGATGTGATGAAAAATATTATTTTATTGAAAAATGTGTGATTGAAAATGAGAATTGATTTACGGTAGAATTTGAGAATGAAAATCAAACAGCCCTAATTTCCAGCCCTTTGACTTCTATTGATTGGGCCGTTCTCCAAAAGCCTCCTTAGCCGTGATAGTCTGCCCATCGACATAATCTTCTACCCTTTTGTTAGGCGGCATCTCCATCTTCTCTACGTGTTTTGCAACAGCAAGCCAAATTCAAAAACCTCCGGCGGAGGAGAAACAAATAGCTTCTCGTCCTCTTTGATGGGGCCTTGTTGAGGTGGAAGGAACTTCCAGTCCGTAAACCAAATCTGTTAATTCATCAAACCTTTCAATTCTCCCCAAGTTTTCACCGGCCTCCGATGATCGACCTGCTGAAACCCATCCCATGCTTCGCGGCCAAAACACGCTGTGGCAGCTTTTATTTTCTCTGCTTCCGACTTCCGATAACTGATTTCTGGAGAAAATCTTCTCTGCCTCCGACACCCACCATTTTGTGTTTTCCCCGTAGAATATTGGTATTTTTTAGTCTACCTTGGACATCCAGCCCTGAATCGTCGTCTTGGCCTCCTTCCCTTTGCATTATGAGCTTCTCCAACCGATTGAAGATTGAGCTCCATCTCTCCTCCAGTTGCTGAAATTTACTTCCATTGGCCCCAGGTTCAATACTCTAATACCAATTTGATAGGATCCCTTGTTGCTGTGGTTCAAATGATGGTTTGCTCTGCTTTTGGAGATGCTGCTTTGCCTACTGGTGGATAGGTTGTAATTATGCTGCAGGTTGATGTCTGTATTGAGAATGAATTTGTAATTGAGAATTCTATATAGTACTGATTGGTTATTCATTGAAATAGAAACTAAAGAAAGTAACAATTCTGAGCATTCGAGAGGCTTAGATCTCTCCCCCTAAGTCAACCGTTAATCACTGAATGACTATCCCACATCCCCCTTATTACATTTATTATATAGGCTACCTATCTCGCCCTATTCTCCACAATACCCTGCCCCTAACTGAATCTGTTTCTAACTGAATAAGCTTCTCAATTCCTCTAGGTCCTTCCACATTGACGGGAGTCTATCAGGGTCAAGAAGCTAATGAATAAACCTGAAGAACAATACAAGAATTGCTTAAAAAATTACATGCCATGATATGCACCTCAATCACATGAACTTGGATTTAGAGATTTCTGCCGTCCTCCTGGTATTGTTAAATACCAGCATTAAAGATGCACAAGTTCAATAAGTATAAATTTAAACGCTGGATCGTGTTAAAGTTTTCAACACATGTAGAATTTAATATTCTACTTGTCAAAGAGTTGAATTTAGTAGGAGTTGTGTAAAAGTTTGCTTCGCAAAGTGCTGAAAGTTCTAGCTTAATGTTGTCAATTTAGAACTGACTAGCATAGTCACGTGTTCAAAAGCTTATCAGGTAATGTGAAGACCCATAATTGATGAGTGCACGGTAAAGTGAAGATTACTTAGGAGCTGGTCCCCACTCATTCAAATTCTAAACCTGTTGTTTAATCAGACTGTTAGGGCGTCATTGAAGACGAGTCACTGGTTTACAAGGTTTAGTGGAAAGCTCTTGTCACAGTTCAAGTCAGGGCTGTTTTGATTTCTAGTCGCTCATGTCACAGATTTATTTTGGTGGCTGCTTCGGCCTGCTTTTGTTTGACTTACATATTTAGAGTCTGGACTTAGCATAATGATTTTACATATATTGGAACTTCATTGTGCTTATGTATACTTTTCTTTCTTTTTGTTCCCTTCAGAATTTTGGGTCTTCTTGAGTAAATTAGTTTTGTATAATGCTATAATAATTTGTCATTCTCATGTTAGGCCTTGCAAGCTCTTTCCATCAAATATGGGGTTTTCCAATCTATCTATAGTTACCGGAAGGAAAAGGTATGTTTCAACCACCATTTGATATTCTTGTACTGGATGTCTTTTGTATGATAAATTTTACTAGAAATGTATACACAAGATATGCAGTGTTGTTATAGGCTTTTGGCGAAGTTAGCTATTATCTCTGGTCTTCTCTT